ATTGTCTTCATGTATACTCTTCAGAGATAAGATACAATGAACATTTGCCAAAATGCAAGGGTCTAAATAATGCCCCCCCAGCGACCACAAATGCCAGTTAAGAATAGGAGTATCAAAGCTTTTTATAATCATAAATACATGCAACCAAATCCATATTGCATTTTCTGGGATCTAGAAATGTTAACCGAAAAGTTAACTCCAGAAGAGAAAATGAAGTTAACCCATACTGAAAGATTACAGATGCACAAGCCGTGTGGCTATTGTTACATAGTTGTTTGTATGGATAGTTCACTAAACTATGAAATTATGAGTCATGATTTATATAGAGGACCTGATATGCTTGAAAGGTTTGTTACAAAAATTGAGAAGGAACTTTTAGCCATTCAGGAAGATTTATCTGCACCAGCTGAAATAATTATGGCGCCAAGAGACTTAGAGGTATACAATGAAGCAACCGAGTGTTGGATTTGTAAGAAGCCTTTTTTCAAACCATCACAAGAAACATTAGAAAAATTCGAAGAAGCAAAGCATGGATTGCTAGAACTCAAAGAATGGGAAGCAAATATGGGGGAAGAGCATCCAGAAAAGAAAAAAATACAGAAAAAATATCGTGAAGCTCTAAGTGCTCTTAACTGTAAAGTAAAAGACCATGACCATATAAGTGGTAAGTATCGAGGCCCAGCTCATGACTCATGTAACAAAAAGTTGCGAATAGGATCTTTTGAAACTAAAGTACCCCTTATTTGCCATAATTTTCGAGGATATGATTCTCATCCACTTATGAAAGTTGTAAGCAAGTTCACGGCTGATAAGTTAAAATGTATCCCAGAAAATATTGGAAAGTATAAGGCCATGGATGTTGGTCAACTCTGATTTCTTGACAGCTTCCAACATATGGGAATGGGACTTGATAAATTAGTTGAATGCCTAGGTGGAAAGCTCGAAAAATTCTCCTTAACTATCAAACATTTTACTGAAAAAGGTTATTCGATAGAAAAGATTGAACTTCTTTTTCGAAAAGGTGTATTTCTATATGATTGAACAAATTCGTAGGATAAATTTGACAGAACAAAGCTCCCACCAAGAAAGGATTTCTATTCGATTCTTAGCCAGCAAAATATAAGTAAAGGAGATTATGAATATGCACAAAAAATATGGCAGGAATTCGAGATGAAGAATTTTGGAGAATATCATGACTTATATCTTGAAACAGATGTACTTTTACTTGCAGATGTTTTCATGAACTACACTATTATGTGCTTGAAAGATGATGGCTTAGATCCTTCCCATTATGTTTCAGCACCTGGAATGTTTAATGATTCCTTATACAAAAGTAGTGGAGCTGAACTTAAGCTCATGACAAATATGGACGAATACTTGATGGTTGAGAATGGCATTCGAGGAGAGATGACAATGGCAAGTCACCAATATACTAAAGCGAATAATCCTAAATGTCCTGACTATGATCCTAGCAAGCCAAAGTCTTGGATACTATATGAGGATTTTAATGCTTTATATTCAGGTGCAATGATGCAATATATGCCTACAGAGATAATAGGCAAGGTAGGTCCAGAAGAGGTACCAGATATTCAAACTATTGCGCCAAATGCAGAAATAGGCTATATGCTCGAAGTAGACTTAGAAGTTCTGGCACACTTACATGACTTCTTTGCAGATTATCCTTTAGCGCCAGAAAAGCAGATAATTCTGGAAAACTGGCTTAGTTTATACAATGAAATATTAGTGCATGATAAAAATGTTGGAGAAGAGAAATATGTATCTGGAGAAAAGCTAGTTCAGACCCTTTTTACTAAAAAGAATTATATGGGGCTTTTGCTAGAAAAATCACAGTTCGAGAAGATCACCTGATTTTGGATAAACAAAGATTATAGTTTTGTTACACAAATTCAAAATTGTTCTAAATTTAGATTTG